AATATATCTCTAAAACTATATAAAGCTTTATTAAGCTTTATATACTTTCCTTTATATTTAAAACTTTCTAAGAATTAATAGTAGATTAGAGGTTTATTTAGATCTCTCTTTATATTTAAAAAAGTATTATTTATATTAAATTATTATATTTTAAAATTAAACTAAATAACTAAAATTATTATAATATAAAAGATTTTTATAATAAAAGTTACTATATATATTTTTTTTAAGATACTCTTTTTCTAGAGGTTTTTTTATATATAAATCTTAGTTTTAAAACGCTTTAAATTACTATTTATATTAACTTTATATATAAATATTTATTTTAGAAATAGAAGTCTTAATTATATAGATTATTAGTTAATTTCTTATTATATCCCTTTTTCTTATAGTTTCTTAATCTTAAGTTTTATTACTTTTATAAAGTATTTTTATAGATATTTTAGAAGTATTAGAAGTTCTTTTTAGCTTTAGGGAGGTAATTAAAACTTAGATATATAGATATCTTATTTTAAGTTTTTATTTTTATACTTCTATTTCTAACTTCTAATATAACTTTATATATATAAATAAAATATTATATATTTAAAAGAACTTTCTTTTATTACTTTTTTTATATTAAGTATAAATATTATAAAAAAAGCTTCCTAAATATATTAGTTTTTAATAAATATAACTTTTTTTTAATATTTAATCTTAGAAAATAGCTATTCTAACTTATTTCTCTTATTATTTATATTAGAATAAATTCTTAAGATATTATTAATAAATAAAATAAAATCTCTAAATTACTCTAGAAGCTATTAATTTTATTAGCTTAATTAGCTTACTTTTCTATAATCTTTCTAATTATAAGCTCTTTTTAGAGCTTCTTTTAAGCTTTTTACTTTAAATATTTAATTTATAACTCTAAGTGTTTTATCTTTTAATTTAAAAAGGTTTTTAGGAGGTATTAATATTATTCTCTTATTATTTATATTTAATATTAATATTTTAAGTTAAATTTAAGGTTTACTATTTTTACTTTAATTTTTATTAAAAGTAGTATAAATATTATTATCCTCCTCTAAAATATCTATAATTTCTTTATTTTATTTATAAAAGTTATTATTAAATAAGTTTAGTATATTAATTTCTCTTTTTTAGTTTCTAATTATAACTTAAGGTTCTAAAGTATATTTAGAAGTAGAGAAACTTCTTAAAGCTTCCTTTTAAGTCTCTTTATATATTATAATATCTTATAACTATATAATTAAAGTTTTTTACTTTTTAAAAGTATTTTTTATTATATTATTAGCTTATTCCTATATACTTAGAAGCTTAAGTATAAAGTTTAAAAATAACTTAAGCTTTAGTTCTTCTTTAATAATATAATATATAATCTTAGCTAGTATTACTATATATTTATCCTCTTTTAAGTAGAACTTTAATTTATTAAACTATATATTATATATTATAATTACTCTCTTAAATATAAGTATTTAGATTTTATATATATTATATATATTATTAATATATCTAACTAAATATCTAAGGTATCCTTATAAATATACTTTATAATATATTCTTTTTTATCCTTTTTCTTATTCCTTTTTAAATAAATATATATAATAACTATATATATATCTATCCTTAATATAATTAAAAGTTTTTCCTAATTATAAATATATAAAAAGAAACTTATTAATAGAAATATTAAGTATATTATTCTTCTTTAACTTAATTTAGTAACTTCTAATTAATCTTTTACTATAAAGATTAGTTAAAAAGATAAATCTTTATAAAAGTTAACTCTAGCTATATTTTTAGAAGTAGATTAGCCCTTTTTTATATCTTAATACTTTTTAAAATTACTTTCTAGCTAATATGCTCTAAACTTCTAATTAGCTCCTTTATATCTATTAGGGGCGTTTTAAGTATAATTCTATTATTCTTTACTTAGTATTAATAATATATACTACTACTAATAGTAATTATAGCTACTTTATTATCTTAGTATATAATATAAATTACTAATCTATATTATTTTCTAACTTATTATTTAAAGTAGAAAAATATTATAAAGACTTCTTTAAGTAAGTAATATATTAGAGGGAAACTTTATAGTTTATTTAAATATTTATTCTTAATAATTAAGATATAAAAAGTTCTTAAGATTATTTTAAAAAAATAATAAAAGATATCTTAGAAGATATAATAATATAAATAAATTACTTTATTTTCTAATTTTAAATATAAAATAACTTTCTTTATATAAGTTCTAATATATATTTTATATTATATCTATATTAAGCTATATATCTTTACTTTCTAAATATTTTTAACTATATATTTAAAAGCTTTAAGATCTAAGTAGCTAAAATAAAAATATTATAAGTATATATTATCTAATTAATCTCTATAGTAGTTATATATATTTTATCTATAAAGGGTTTTTACTAGCTAAGTTATAATAATAATATATATAAAACTTATTAATATATTTTTAAAAAAGTATAAAGAAAAAGGTTTATATTTAAAGAAAACTAAATTATATTTTTAGATTAATATAGTAATAATTATACTTTAAATAAGGTTTCTTATATATAAAATATAGTTAAGCTTATAAAACTAAATCTTCTATATATTAAAGTAGTTTTTAGATATAATATTAATATAAAAACCTTTAATATAAGTAACGTTTTTAAGTATAAGATTACTTAATATCTATCTATTTTAACCTTTAAAGATCCCTTTAAGAATATAGGTTCTTTAGCTTAAAACTAAGATCTAAGTTATACTTATTTCTATAATATTTTTTAAACTAAACTCTATATAAAAGTTACTTAGTAATAGTAATTTATTATTAACTAAATATATAATATTATAGTTATTATAAACTATACTATATAAAAAGATATATAGTAAAATAGATATATTAAGTAAGTATATCCTTAATATAATTACTTTAAGAAGGTTTTTTAAAATAATTAATATAGTTATAATATTAAATAAGACTTTAGTATTTAACTTCTAACTAAATCTACTATTCTAATTATTTCTTCTACTATAGTTTCTATATTATTAGCTTCTTCTACTATATAAGCTACTTCTTTTATAATTAGTATTATTTATTTAAGTTAAAATCTATTTTTTATATATAATTATAACTTTAGCGCTTATCTATTTATTTTAATTAAGTTTAGAAAGGATTTTTTAAACTTTATTATTATTTATAGAGATCTATTAAAACTTATAAAACTCTTTATAAATATACTTTAAGTATTTATATATCTTAGAGGTTTAGGAATACTCTTCTCTATATAGGTAGTTATTAAGATATATATTAGAGGGGTTATTAGACCTTCCTCTTAAAATAATAAAAAGTATATTTAATTTCTAAGATCTCTTAGTAAATAAATACTTATAAACTAAAACTAAGAAAATAATCTTATATTACTTTAAAATATATATTAAAAACCTTAAACTAATATTTATAATAAGTTATATAAGTTTAATATAAACTTAGTTTAAAATAAGTTAATATCTAACTACTTTAAAGAAAGTTTATAATATAAGTTTTCTCTAAATCTCTAGAATATTAAATCTTTTTATTTCTATATAATAATAATACTACTTTATATATTAAATAAAAAGGTTAATATTAGAATTAGCTTTTTTAAATAAATAAAAATAGTTTTTTTAAACTATATTAATAATTATAAGTATAATAAGTATAAACTATCTCTTAATCTTATATATAAAGACCTATAAAGTTACTTCTAATTAAGTTTTATTATTTAAGATAACTAATTTAGTATTAATTAGAATAAAGCTTAAAACTATTTTATTAACTTATATTTAGAGGTTAAAGTAATATATTAAGAAAGTTTATTAATCTAAAAAGCTTATTATATAATCTTTAATTACTATATTATACTCTAACTTAATATTTTTATAAATAGTAGTTTAAAGTATTTATAGAGATTTTAAAAAAAAAATAATCCCTCTATCTTATTAAGAATAATACTTATATCCTCTTTATTTCTTAAAGTTTCTATAATTAGATAAATATTCTTTAATATATTTTTAATAGCTTTTATTAGATATTTAGCCTCCTCTAGATATTATTTTACCTATTTATTATATTCTTCTTAGTATTTTATATTTAAAAAAGTTTAATATTTAATAATAAACTTAAAGATCTTTAAAGTTATAATTACTTATAAAAAGTTAATATAATTATTTATATCTAAATTAATATAATTTTAAAAGCTTTTTAAATATATATAGAACTTAAAATAAGTATATTATATAAACTAATTACTTCTTAATATAAGAATATTTCTTATAAAAGGAATTTTATTATTAATAGAGGATATAATAAATAAAGATAATAAAAGAATTAATAAAAAGTTAGGAATAAGTTTTTTATATATAATTTATAGTAAAGAGGTAATCTAAGCTATTAATAAAGCTAAGTTTATAACTTTTATAAATTATAAGTATATAAGTTATTAGGAATAAAAGTATATTATAGGAGTAACTATTTAGAAAAGTAGTCTATATTATAGGTTAATATCTATACGCGTAGCTTACGTAATACTGCACGTCACGTGACAGGCGGTGAGGCTACGGCTCAGATTGAGGGTATCGCAATAAGATCTGTGATAGCGAATTGTCATTTTTAGTGACGCATACCAAGTTGGAGATAAGCGCGCCTTAGCCAGAATCCGACCAGTACGGACAATTGGAGTTACACCCTCAAGATAAGCGCGCCTTAAGGAGTCATGTCAGCATCAAGCTGAAGTGGGCTTTGCAGGCTAGTAGGGCTTAGATTCTGCCGGTTCTGATAGCAGCAAACCATTGAACATCAGTGATCTAATAATGTAGGAGTTCGTTGCCTCATCCGTCGCAGTATATCAGATCGATGGTGTCCTGAGAATTGGATGAACTCAAGACTCAGCCGTCTAAGATCACATCACATTCGCAAAACTTCAACCGGATTCGCAACTCTCAACATGATGGATGCCGAAAAGAAGGGAGCAAACGCTCCGGACCTTCATGACTCTAGCTCTGTGAGCTTCTTCATCTAGCTCCTCGTGCAGAATACGAAAGCTGACCGATGGTGATAGTCGCTGAACGACCGAGGCCAGATTTCTGCCATTCAACTTTCCGAATATGGAGTTCATAGAGGGTTGCAGTCGCATCACATCCAATTACTGGCAATTTCTGGGGTCATTGGAACAGGTGAGTTGACATAGAAATTCAACCAACTAGGGCAAAGGTGTCATGGTCAAAATATGAATCCGCGCAATGACTGACAATCCAAGGTCTTTTCGTTGGCACATCGGGCGTGCTTAGTAGTGCTGGACCCGCTGGCCTTCTCATCGGATACTCCATTTGGTGAGGAAATCGCATAGCATAGGCCCTTTACCCATGGCCTGACTTCTTATAGGTGCATTTTTCTTCTTTGCGTTGCTCACGCCATGGGAGAAATGTCGGCATTTTTACCTGTCCCAGGCTCATTCGTCACACGTAAGTGATATGATGTTATCCACACTGACCCTACGGGATAACTCAACATCTTAGACATTGGACGGTTCGTTGATGAAAGTGCCGGTGTGGCCATGGGATGGGTGTACGCATACAGGTAAGGGTTCCGTTGTGAGGTCAAATGTCAGCATGCTAACTCTACCCGAATTCAGCATGTGAGTAACCTTTGCACACCAAGCAGAACCTGATAACGTGACCTTAACATAATTTCTTTTCTCAGGATGTAAGTTTTGGACTGGGTAAACGTGGGGATCTTTGAGCTGATAATTTTCTCTGCAGGATTTTCACCGCCGCCGATTGCACTGCCTTGGCTGGCCTTTGGTCTTACTGGTTCCCGGATATCAACCCCGGCGTCTGGGTAGCCTGCACATTAGGAGTCGTTTTCGTTCTCAACTGCCTTGCGGTCAAGTACTTTGGTGAGGTAGAGTTCTATGCTTCAATCTTCAAGATCTTCCTGATCTTTGGTTTTTTGCTGTTCACCTTCGTCGTTGTCCTCGGCGGCAATCCTAAACACGACCGCATCGGCTTCAGATACTGGAGAGACCCTGGGGCTTTCAACGAGACATACACAACGGGAACCACAGGCCGATTCTTATCCATCTGGGGGGTCTTCAACACGGCGGCTTTTGCCATCGGCGGCCCTGACTTCATTGCCAACTGCGCATCGGAGGCCGTCAACCCGCGCCGCAATATCCCCAAAGCTGTCAGGCGTGTTATCTATCGGTTGATCTTCTTCTTTATTCTCTCAGTCTTCGCAGTTGGGCTGCTAGTACCGTACAATGACCCCACCATGCGTCAGTTCTAATGTTTGTCACTCGACGATGTCTCCACAATGCTGACACTAATCTCAGTCACGGCCATCGCAAGTGACAATGGAGTTGCCAAGTCGCCTTTCATCATTGCAATGAACAGACTTGAAATATCTTTCCTTCCTGATCTTTGTAATGCAGTTGTGTAAGAACAGTTTGCACCTTTGGGGATAGCATCGCTAACGTCTTATTCTCAGCATCACATCTGCTTGGGGTTGTACAAACTGTCTCCTTTTCCAGGCATCACGAACCGTATTTGGTCTCGCCAAACATGGAAGAGCACCCAAAATCTTTGCCAAAACAACAAAGACAGGAGTTCCCATTCCGGCATTGGTCCTGTCTACCGCCGTTGCTTCTCTTGCCTTCATGACTTGCAATACCGCTTCTGCTGTCGTTCTAAATTGGTTTATCAATCTGGGATCCACAGCTATCATGGTTGCTTACATTCTCATGATGGTGAGTTTCGATGCACTGGATTGATGCTTACTACGAATTGCTAATCCGTGCAGGTGGCAAACCTTCAGTTTCATAAAGGCCTCGTGGCGCAGGGAATCGATGCCGCAGGTCTTCCTTTTAGAAGCAAGTTAACACTTGAGTACAATGTCCTGGACCTGTGAAATATGACACTGATAGTTTTCAAGCCTACTCCAACTACTTCGCCATCTTCTGGGTCGGCATTATCCTGCTTACGAATGGCTATGGCAAGTCGAGACCGGACAACCTCTAGGAGCGTATTTCTGACACGTCACTAGGAGTTTTCATCGAGGGCCATTGGAGTTTCTCTGGTTTCTTTACGGCATACTTTACGCTTGTGTTTTTTCGTATGCTTTCCACTCAGACTGATCATGGACTCATGTTTCAGTCTTCGATATTTCAGTAGGAACGGAGACTGACGCTCTTAGTGATCATATTCGTTGGTTGGAAAATAGTAAAGCACACGTCAATCGTCAAGCCCGAGGACATGGACTTCAGGACTGGACTAGCTGAAGTTGAAGCGCATGAGGCTGCTTTGGTTATCAACCCCCCGGCGACGCGTTACGAGAGGTAAGCTTGTTCAAACCACAGGTATCCCGACCGCAGCTAACAGGCTAGATTTATGGATTGGTTATGGTGAGAGCGGAGGGGGGATAGGGATGTGCTGCACTCCATTAGGCCTGTACACCTGAGCACATAGCGCACTTGAATGCAACTTTGAACGTCGGTGTATGTATTCGTGCTATGCATCATTTTGTGCTGACTGCAACCTCGGAGAGTGGCATTTGCAACGAGATGAAGATCGTCGTTTTTCACCCAAGATAGTGACAAGCAATGATCGTCGAATTGAATCGCCGACCATTCCGGCCAAGGTTATGGGAGAAAGGGGATTAGCACCGTCTTGGACTGCCCAGAGAAGTTCCGATGAGTCTTATCCCCTAGCAAGTTGGGATGCAAAAGCAGGGATACTAGGTGGTCCTGCTGCAGCGCAACGGGAATCGGAGATCCTTTTGCAAGCATCGAGTTTGGACCGCGTGCACTGTCTTCACAGCGTTTTGTCGGGGGTTTTAGAAGGGGGGGCTGGTCCGATCTGAATGGTCAACTATCATCCTCTAGGGCATCGAATGCGTTGTCTTGCTGCCTGAAGAAGTGTGCCTTGGGCCCTCTGAGAGTAGTCTGCTTCTGTCAGATTTACAATTTTGACGCAAGTCAATGACTCTCACCCAGCTGCAACCTCTTAGCTGCATCCACTGCGGCCGTGGGGCAGACGTCTCAATGGCACCTTCGGCAGGGCTATTTATGCGCCTGGCTGAGCAAACTGCAGACAGTGTGTTGGTTGGCAGAGACAATTGGCACACAGGCCCTACAGTGGCACGAAATCCCAGCCGCTTTCTCGGCTCTCATTCGCTCTGAAGCAGCGGTGATGTGTCTCTTGCAGGCATAACATCCGTCGGTGAACATGCCTATTCATTGGCCAGAGTTCGGGTGAGGGGTCGGCCCACCCTGCATTTAAATACATCCCGCGTTCCAGGACACCGTTTTGGCTCGCGTTGGAACCATCTCGCGCTGACCCAGCTTGTTGGTTCAGCCTCATTCCACATGGACGACCTCAGCATGGAGGACGTCGACAACTTCGATGTCGCACATGCGGTGGAACATGCCACTTGGCCTAATAACGTGCCCGATCGCGAGGTCGTCATCGAGGCTGACGATCAGGTGATCTTTCATTCTTCTCGTTTACAATTGAGAAGTCTAACTTATCGATAGGATAACGACTCAGCCATTGGAATTGTCAGTGCCTGCCTCCAATATTTGATGTGATCTTTCGCCATGTATTCAATCTACCAGCGGAGCTGACTCCGATATCTTGTCCAGCAAACCCTTGCTTCATCAAGAGGGAGTCTTGCAAGTTCTATCATGGACTATCGCGTTGAAAATGGTAGAACTTATCACAGATATAAGGATGGAAGTGAGTATTGTGAAGCAAGGGGAACCGTGCTTCGCCGGGAGATCTAGGCTGAATGAGATTTCAGAATACAACATCCCCAATGATGAGAAGGAAATTGAGAGACTTGGTGAGTTCCTTTCAATAGTTCCGTTGGTTCATTTATAATGTCAGTGACATGTCTTCCATCATCTTCAGTCATCGGGACTCTGCTCTTGTGACCCCTCTATCTGCCCTGACCACCGAATACCTGCATCGTCGCCTTCACCCACTCCAGTGATGGCCTCTCAACAACCATGCCTTTTGAATCATATACATGTAGGCGAGAGCCAACGCGATCTTTCCCCATCAAGACTCGTGTGTCTAATATGCGAGCCAGATTTGCAACATACTCTATTCCTACTCACTTTCAGCGACAAGCTCGGAATGGCCCCTCCCTGTGATAAGGGAGCCAGCGCTGGCCACGTCCTCGATATCGGGACTGGGACTGGGATCTGGGCGATAGATTTTGGAGACGAGCACCCAGAAGCAGAGGTTTGTTATTATCCTCGCAACCCTGATATTATGCTTATGCGTTGCAGGTTCGTGGGATAGACCTTTCTCCTGTGCAGCCAGATTTGTATAGCCTTGCCCAGCCGCTTCTGATGACCAAATATTGATGCTGATAATTCTAGCTTGCCACCAAACGTGCGGTTCGAGATAGCAGACTTTGAGGAGCCATGGCCTTTCGGTCGGCATTTCGACTACATCCATAGTCGAATGATGAACTCATCTGTTGGTGACTGGAATGAGTATATTCGAAAATGCTACGAGTAGGTCAACTGCGTCTTCGATGCGACCATGCCTAATTTTGTCTCAAGCAATCTCAATCCTGGCGGGTGGCTGGAATTAGTCGAGGTTGATATTACCCCATTATCCGACGATGGCACTTTGCGACCAGAGCACTCAGTCTCGAGAACGGCACGATTACTACAGCAGGCGTCAACACTATACGGACGGCCATACCAGGACGTCAAGGAATTGAAATCAATCATGATGGAGGCTGGATTCACTGACGTCACCCTCCTGCATTTCAAGTGGCCTACGAATACATGGCCGAGAGAAATACGACATAAAGAACTAGGGGTCTGGCATAACGAAAACCTGGTCAGAGGATGGGAAGGAATATGTATGGCCCTGCTGACAAGAATGCTCGGCTGGACAAGGGAGAATGTCCTTGCTTTGATGGAAGAGAATCTGAAAGAGTTCTCTGACAGGAATATCCATGCGTATTTCTCAATGTAAGTGGACAAAGCCTGAAGAGCAGTTGCAACTGATATCTTGCGAGCTAACGAACTCTTCTTAGTTGGTCTATTTATGGAAAACGGCCTGTACAAGCAGGAGGAGTTTCTTCGGGGAGCATTTGAGCGTTCATATTTGACTTGCAATGGAAGGCATTTGCACACTGTAAAAGCGCGCTGTAGCGTGGGATCTGGCCATATTTATTTGATCAATTTTAAGAAGCGAAGATCTTGTGTCGCAGGGCAAGAACTCAGCCTAATGACTCAACAAGTCCTTTCATCGCCGCACGGTACGTACAAGCTGTGAAGGAGAAGTGCAGTCTGGACTTTACATCATACAGACATTCTAGCCATTTTGGTAAAACTGAGGTAGATTATTGATTTGCCTCCATGCTCTGAGCTGCCGTCCGGACCCTGTCACCTCGGTTTGACGCGGTGTGGAGAGTGACATGCCCAGGTTGGAGACAGACCGGCGTGCCCCATTCCCTGCGGAAGCCGGATCTCGGCGGCACCTCCACCCAATTCTTCATTCGAGTCAGGCCTCACACAATAATCCCTTCACCATTCTTCAGTAGAAGGGGAAAAAGGGAGCTATGCCGGCACCTAGATCTAGGACCACGTGCTATCAATGTCGAACTAGAAAGGTAAGCCTCCCAAGCATGTACGTACGTTTACTCAGTGACTAAATCGCCAGTCAGGTCAGATGCCAGGGCTGGCCGAATGGCTGTACAGCCTGCAAACGCCTCGGTTACCGGTGTTCCTTTGAATCAACTTCCTTGACCTCGGACCCGACACCGACGCAATTAGAGCGTCGACGCGGCGAGCGGGCTTGTAATGAATGCCGCGCGCAGAAGATCAAGTGTTCAGGCGAAAGCCCAACTTGCGCCGGCTGTCGGCGGCGGGGTCGAGATTGTGAATATCCAGAAGCAAAACGACGCAGATCACAAACTCAGACCAAACAATCATTGGGAACGGTCGCCGTTCATGATGATTCTGACAAAGCCGATGCTTACAACGTTTCAGACTCCACAGTGTCTTTGAGTGCTGCAGAGTCAAGTCTTGTCAATCTCGAGCAACCTCGACGAAACTATCATTCGGACCCACGGGCTCAGGCCTTACCACCTACTGACACACAAATCCAACTAGTAGATGATTTCTTCAACCATCTTTATCCTCTTCCTTTGTATTCTTTCTTGCATGAACGGTCAATAGGGCAACGATGTCAAGAGGGTAGCCTCGATGAAAGCCTGATTCTTTCCATATGCGCTATTTCCGCAACCCGTCTGCATCGCGCCGCTTTTCATCCAGACTCAACCTCGGTATGGGTTCAGAGGGCAGAGAACCTAGTATGGTCTCATTTGGAGCATCCCACAATCTTCCGTACCCAAGCACTGCTTCTCATCTGTCAGTACCACATCGAGACTGGCGGGCTTCAAAAGGCCTTCATGCTTTCATCGATTGTTTCTAGAGCAGCAAGTGCTCTTCGATTGCAGTACGAGCGGACAGACATACACCCACTTGCCCAAGAGATTAGGCGTCGACTTATGTGGGGTTTAATACTTTTGGATGGGCACTTTTCGAACGGTCTGCCCGAATGCGAGCTTTGCCCATTTGAGAATGTCTATCTGAAACTCCCCTGCTCTGAAGAGGAACTTACATTGCTCCACAACCCTGAGACCAATGAGAACTCGCCCTCTTTGTCTCTGGGGAGCGATCCTGAGGGCGGGCTTCTCTCCACAATCATTCGAGCGGCTACTATAAGGAGAGATATTTCAAGATTGAAGCGGCAGATGTGGCTCTCTGGAACACCGCTACCGCAACTTGAAGCTCTCGCAAAGTCATTCTCACATGGTCTCCAGGCGCTGAAGGTCAAACCATACTGTAAGGCGACTCTACGGAAGCACTCGACGTCTCGTTGGCTCTTGAGGTATGTAGTATCGCATTTGTCATCGCACCAAGGACATTGCGATTTGCATCGCCTTTTTCTCTCCGGTTACTCCGAGGCTGCGTCAGACGTTGTTCTTAGCGCAGTCTCTCAAAAGTTTATGGCAACGGCTGCAACAGAATGCTTTCAGCATGCCACATCTATCCTTGAGATTCTCCACGACTTCAGCGAACTAAGACTTGATATAAGAGTACCCGATGTCGACATCGCCATTTGCAGCTATCATGCAACACGGATACTCCTTTTCCTCGGCAAATCCAATCTCAACCCATATAACTCGGGTCTCGATCCGGATACAGCTCTTAACAAGGCCAATTCAACATTCAATGTCATACATAGTCTATTCAAAGGCTCAACAATAGCACGTTTCATTCTTGACGACCTAGAATGTGCTATCGCGGCATATCAGCCATCAACACCTGGGAATGATCATATTCCTCCGCTGGATAGTGGGAAGACAAGTCCACATCGACCGAAATTCGCAATTATGGCGAAGAAACACCAGAACCTGGCCGTTCATAGCATATTGAGACAAGCGCGATTTGTTGACGACAGTTCGGCTGCAGTAAGCTCTTCGAATGAAGCAGCGAAACAAACACAGCACGCAATGGCCCATAGGTCTCGCAGCGTCGAGGTTCCAGTAAGTAACACCACACCAAGCCAAAGTTTAAGCTTGGTGGAAACATCTACCGCAGATTTGATGTCAGGCACGACTGAGTGGAATGAGGACGTGCCAATGGTCGAAAACCTAGTTGAGGCCTCCGATACAAGATTTTGGGGCGACTGGAACGAAACTTGGGGTCTCGATGAGTGGCCGATGGAAGCAGACGAGCACTACTTCTGATGGGATCCGGGCTTTTCTAATCTTTCAGTTTCGCACGATCGAAGGGTATTTCTGATGGTATCTGCTGCCCATGTTGACTGTTTTGTCTGTGTTGTCTACATTATAATATCTGTGGATCTGAAATCTTTTGTTTCTATTGTGTTTGCCATCTTTTGTCTCTATTCGGCCGATAGCTAATTTGCAAAAGGGCTCTGCCGGTAATTTATTACTGCCATGGTGGAGGGTGAAACTCGAGTGATTCAATCAAGTACCGGCATCCAGTCTAGAAGCCGCTTTGCGTGCACACAGTTGTAAAGAATGTAGCGAACGAGGTCACTCAAGCCAAGTACTTGACTGCCTCCTGCCGCTTGAATGATATTTATAGCTCCGAGTACGTGGTTTGAAGCCATTGATATGTCCTGAATCATAATCTAGGGTGACAGTCAGCGCAGCCATTGCATTGAAAGTCATCACATAACATACATCGTCGAATGCTAAAACCAGGGCTCTTGTGACGGCTTCGCGTCTCGACGAAGGACCATCTGACAAGATCGTGCGCCGAAGGTCTTGGATATATCTGAGTTTGTATTGAATGGCGATTTCGGCGTACTCTTTTTCTGACTTGACAGTAGAAAGGTGACGGCAGGCCGCAAGTAAGAAACCTTTGAGAAAGTCTGTGTCTTCAGAGCTTAGAAGCACCCAATTATTTCGTACATGGTCGTTGTGCTTGCCCATGTAATTTAATACTGGGCATTGACTAAGCATTTCGGGCACGACAACTTGAACATCTAGGAGTGTGGTCAGCTCACTTGTGCACGTTGCAATCGACTTATGACCGACGACGTATCATGATACTGTAATTAAGTGCAACTCACAATGCTGAAACATGTAATGCTCTCTTGGTGTGAGTGACCCAAGAAAGCTCGCCAAGGGTTCGTGCTCGAATGCCCCAGAAATATTTGGCGGAAGCACCAGAGTTATTTCGTCACGTACGAATGATGCCAATTTTTTCCAATTACTTGACATGCGCTCCTCTGAATAGGCACCCTCGCTGTCACCTTCTGCGACCCCCGATATTTCTCTACGTTGCGTGTGCTCCGCCATGCGACGCCTTCTTGCCCGAGCGTGAGCAACACGAGCAGCATGGGAATGAGCCTGCCGTCTCAGGTTGGCCGAGTCTTTTTGAGCCGGGTGGACCATAGTAATGAACTCCATTTCAAGAGTGACCTAGAATCAGGCTGAAGAAGATGAAGGAAAATCGTGGCGACTTAGATGAAGCGTTCGCAGGCAAGTTGCGCTCTTGAGAGTCAGTTCCGAGTCAGATTATCATTGGTATGAAAGAATCCACATTTGTCAGCACAAAACTCGCCGAAAAACTGCCTTGAAGTTCGCCAAGAGTTGCTCCTACTACATTAGGACTAGCTCCTCGCAGTTCTCCGCATAGAGAAACATGAATGATGGGTCTCCCTAGAAATGGTACGGAATTTCGTCGCCGATCTCCTCATACACCGCTTCGATAGCAGCCACCACATCGTGCGGCAATGGTCCTTGTTCAATCATGTCAATGTTGGACTCCAACTGATTCACGCTAGAAGCACCAATGATGATCGAGTCGCCGTGCTTGCTACTAAGAACGCTGTGATGTGCCGTCCAACGAAGCGCAACGGCGTGACCGGCGATGCCGTGCCGAGATGCGGTTTCAAGTGCCTTTTCGGTGGCGGCCATGATGGAGGGTCTCAAGTAGAGATTTGCATACACCTCGCCAGAGGAAATCTTGTGATGAAAGAATCCATAATCAGCCCACCGAGCGAGACAGGCAGCGCCAGCTGTTAGGGGAGTGTGCTCACCGATCTGTCCCATCGCCCACCAGCCTTGGCGTTTTTGTGATTGCCAGCAAACAAGCCTCCAGCAGCGGGGCTGTACGCGTAGAAAGCAATCCCATTCTTCCGAAGAATAGGGAAAAGATCCTTTTCGCCACTTCGTACAACTGCATTGTACTGACCCTGGTAAACACTCGGTTTCACATAGCCGTATTCCTCGCAAATATCGACAAACCGTTGGACTTCTTCTGCTGTGTAATTAGAAATCCCCCAACGCTTGATTTTTCCTTCGTTGTATGCCTGAGTCATAGCTTTACATGGTTCCTCGAACGGGGTGTCACGGTCAGGAACATGCAGATATTCGATGTTGATTTGCGGGATCCGCAATGTCTCGAGCGAGAGGTTGATCTCGGACAAGACTTCGTTCTTAGCATGGGTTGCTGGCTTCCAAGACATGACTTTGGTGTCGATGACAAATCGTTCACCCGCTGAAACAGCTGCAAGCCTAGGCTCGCAGCTTCCCGGTGCATGAGGTGAATACATGCGCGAAGTATCGATTTGGTTATACCCACGCCTTGCGAAGACGTCTAGGAAAGACCTGACCTCGTCAGGTGTGTCAAAACGTGCCATGGCGTCGATAGACTTGTCCCCGATCTGCACATAGCCATGGTCAGACATACTCCAGCAATGGCGTTGGTAGAACTTACATTGGCGGCGCCTAGAACCAAATTGATGACAGATTTCCGGCTGTGTGACATATTTGCTTTGTGTAAATTTATAGAAGTATCAAAGGTAGCGGTTGTTGTTCGAGTTTGATAACGAATCTTCAAACCGCAAGGACGGGACTTTTACGCCCTTATATACATCGATCATGTTCATCGATCAGTCACTGCAGAAGCATCAATCTTAACCGTAAGAATATGCTCCTACTAGATCAAGCAAGTGCAATAGTTGGTACTCGGATTTCGTATTATTAATTGAGATGGTAACGCGGACAGCCTTGATGCTCCGGCACATAACCCATGCTCCTACTCCTTTAGGCAATTGCAACGTGGAGCTTGCCAACTAGCCTCCAAAACCCGGCGCTCTCAGTGGACGCCATTGAGCAACTTTGATACAGCCAACTTGGTATGTATCGGTTCGTCCCCAATCTCAGCCATCTTCTCGCTAAGAAGCTTTGTCATCTTCTTCACTATGTCTAGGTATTTGGGGTCGTTGTAGCAGTTGAAGAGCTCGAGCGGATCCTCCTGGCAATCGAAGAGCTCCCACTCCTTTTCTTCCCCACCGGGACGCGCACCCTCCATTCCCAAATCTTCGTTGTACCAGTAGATCAGCTTATATCGCTGATCGCGCACACCATAATGCGCATAGGCTTCGTGGATTACATCTCGATGCATCCAATACCTGTGGTATGCCACTTGCTGCCAAGACGGCTCGACTCGATCTTCTCCGAGGAGGAGAGGTCGAATGGATCGCCCTTGCATGTAGCTCGGGATCCGGACACCGGCAAAGTCGAGGAAGGTCGGTGCAAAGTCCACGTTACAAATAATATCATTGCACACAGACTGCGGCTCAATGGCCTTGGGGTATCGGATCATGAACGGCATCTGGAAGCTTTCCTCGTACATGAACCTTTTGTCGAACCAACCGTGTTCACCCAGGAAGAAGCCCTGGTCAGACGTGTAAATAACGATAGTGTTTTCTGCAAGACCCTCGGACTCCAGCCAGTCGAGCATTCTGCCGACGTTGTCATCGATGCTTTGTATCGTTCGCAAATATCGTTGCATATATCGCTGGAACTTGAACTCTGCGAGCTCCTCCTTAGTCTTGAAAGTGAAGACTGTGCCGTCATCTTTGCAGACTAGCTTGAGCTTTGTGACATCCTCAGGGGCAGGAATTTTGCGATCGTTCCACCACCAAATGTCGATCATCTTCTGGCCAACTTCACTGCTGGGCCCCTCAGGCTGGACGATCCCAAGGTCTCCATAGGTGAGGTCCTCGGCGACACGCATCTTGGCGACTTTGGCTGCATTTGCCCGGTTTTTATAATCATCCGTAAAGGTGTCAGGTAGTCGTACCGGGTCGTTGTAGAGGTGCTTGTGCTTGTTGTCGCACTCCCAACTGCGGTGGGGAGCCTTGTGGTGGCACATGAGGAAGAAAGGGCGCTGTTTGTCACGATTCGACATCCAGTCGATGCATTTGTCGGTGATGACATCTGTTGCGTAGCCTGGTACCCGATTCATGGTGGACTTGCCGCCATGGGGACCAGGTTCGATGAACTGAGGGTCCCAGTACTCGCCCTGTCCTGGGACGACGCTCCAGTAATCAAAGCCGGTCGGTTCGCAGTTAGCACCCTCTCCAAGATGCCACTTGCCCACCATTGCAGTTTGATATCCACCGGTCTGGAGCTGTTTGGCCACATTCGGAAGCCTGCTGTTGAGCTTGGAGTCTAGGGTCGTGACGTTGTTGACGTGGTTGTACGTGCCGCATAGAATTGCCGCTCGAGATGGTGTACAGATACTGTTGGTGACATAGCAATGATGAAATAGCATGCCTTCTTGGGCAATTCTGTCAAGATTGGGGGTGCTATTGATACCAGCACCGTAGCAAGAGATAGACTTGGCGGCATGATCGTCTGCCATAATGAAGACAATGTTGGGGCGGTTTTGGGACTCCATGATGGTACGACTGGGCGTTCTGCTTGATACAGACGAAAGAGATGGGAAATGGAAACTTCTTGAAGAACAAACACTCCCTGACGTCTACTATGCCTTCCCGTCCTCTCAATAGGATCGATTCGTGGACGACTCGGGTGAAATCCGGTCGGATCGGTCCTGGATGAGACGTCTACTGCCCGAGGTGGGCACTGCGTTGCTTCCAGGCTAATGCAAACTACGGTAGTCGGCGAACGATCGGCAACCGGAGCAGTGCGATGATGATTCGTCAATCGTGAGTGGGGGAGCATGGAGACCCCCGGCCGACTTCCAAAGACGGCAACCAGAACCTGGTCAGTGTTGAAGGAACGAGCAGCTGAACATCGAGCTCCCCTCATCGAGTCAGAAATGGTACGAATCCGACAACCGGTCTTTCTTGCGTGATTTGATGAGCGGGGGCGCGAGTTCTTCCTATGTCCTTTCACTCCATCAAGTACATGACCTTTTCTCGATCGACCAATCCCAACTCAACGCGACCGACTGCCGACACGCTGAACCGGTCTCGTGGGATCTTGAGAAAATATCTGGCAGGGTTCTAGGTCTTGAAGTGCTGGTTCTCATGACGTTCCCCGCGGGGTCTCCGCATTACCGGTCTGGTGGGAACTCACAAGGGGGCACCCATCATTGCAATTGTGCAAAAGACCAGCTGAACACGAAGTAGGGGATTTGCTTGGTGTGAAGGATAACAGCAACCGACGTGTAATTGATAGAAATTCACTTGATGATTATAAGAGCTGTAAACCCCCCACATCTGGGACTGGACTGTCATGATCACGGGCATCCCGACACCTCTCTTTGCAAATTGATTTCACGCCTGCATGCCGCGAGTAACATCATGAAAGACCAGCTCTCTGCGACTCATGTTGAAGACTCTGCTGACAAAGATGGCATTCGTGAGCTAGGTTCAGCTTCTCAAGGGTCAGAAACCTTGACTTTGAGACAGACATTCCGCTACTACTGGAAGGCTGTCGCATGGTCTCTCTGTGTGTCCAACGCAACCATCATGGAGTCATATGACCTTCTTCTAATCAACTCGTTCTACGCTTTTCCGCAATTCCAAAATAAGTATGGCGTGGAACTACCAAACGGAAGCTATTCTGTGCCGGCGCGCTGGCAAATTGGTCTGTCAATGGCCAACTTGGTCGGCATGATCATCGGAGTATTTGCCAACGGTTACTGCGCAGACCGATGGGGCCTGCGAAAAGTCATAATAGCTTCGCATGCTGCCTTGATCGGCTTCATTTTCATCACATTCTTTGCGCCATCTGTTGAGGTTCTCACAGTTGGAATGCTCCTGTTGTAAGTCGCATTCAAGGCAACCCTTGGGCAAGCAACTCCAGCTGACTTAGTCCTGTCGATGACAGATCCCTGCCTTGTGGTTTCTTTGCCGCCGCAACCCCTTCTTACGCCGCTGAAGTTAGCCCTCCTCAACTCAGCGGCTATCTCACGGTGTATGTCAATCTCTGTTGGGTTATGGGAAAGATACTGGCCTTTGGCGTCTTGTCCGGCACTCTCAGCATAGAGGGTGAATGGTCCTACAGGATACCTTTCGCGCTCCAGTGGATATGGCCTCTGCCTTTGATGGTGGCCACATACCTAGCTCCAGAAAGTCCTTGGTGGCTTGCAAGAAAGGGGCGAATTGAGGAGGCTGAAAACAGCCTCCGCAGGTTAGTATCTGCGCCCCTAACAGTCATCGACCCCAAAGATTCGCTTGCCACAATTGTCCGTACTATTGAGGCGGAATGCCTGATGAGCATCCAAGGATCATACTTAGACTGCTTCAGAGGTGACAGCCTGCGCCGGACAGAAATTGCAATGGTCAGCTGGGGCTGCCAAATCCTACCTGGATTCGCCATCCAAGTTTACATCACCTACTTCTTCACCCTTGCTGGCCTCGACTCGTCGGACTCCTTCAATCTGTCGATAGGTTAGTGCGGTTCTGGCTCACATGTGATCACGCTGACCAGGGATACCTTACAGGCAATGCTGGCCTTGCGTTCGTAGGAACAGTGTCGTCGTGGGCTTTGATGACAAGATTCGGTTGGCGTACGATGTACCTTGGTGGGCTCATTGCCATGTTCCCGGTCATGTCTCTCGTCGGTTTCCTTGACTTGGCAACAAGCACGCCTTCCGGAGACAACGTGAGATGGGCCCAGTGCGCCATGCTTTTGGTCTGGTTCTTCATTTACGGTAAGTACTCTTCGCATCATCGACCGATAAGCCCAAGCTGATGTGCCGACCAGGTGCAAGCATTGGACCCGTACCTTACGGCATCGCCGCCAATGTTGGTGCAACCAATATCAGGGTCAAGACAATCTCGCTTGGGAGGAACACCTATTACTTTCTTTCAATTATCAACACCATTGCATCTCCGTACTTGTTGAACCCACAAGAGGGTAATTTGAAGGGAAAGGCAGCCTTCCCCGCGGTGGCGTTCACGTTGCTGTTAATCGTCTGGGCTTTCTTCCGGCTACCAGAGATTAAGGGCATGTCGCCCGAAGTTCTCAATAAGCTATTCGAGCAGAAAGTCCCAGCGAGGAAGTTTTTGCAAGAATCAAAGAAGTATCAATGAGAATTTAGGGGGGGTAGAGGTGCGGTTTTGCTCTCACCAGCAAGTTTAACTGGAGTCTCTGAGGGTCATCATATAACAAGGTCTGATGCTATGCAATGCGAGATCTCTCCAAGTACAATCAATGTAGAACCGTGTCTTTACAGCACTTTTCAGACGATGAGTGGCTAGGAAGGTATTTGAGGCCATGTAGTCTAAACAATCAAAGAATTCTCTGTAGGATGACAGAGTGTGAGGACACGTGAACTCCTTGATTCTTGCATTTGAGACACCAAAAGGCAAGCACAGCCACTCCACTCTCACAAACTCTTCACCATCGTTCGGCTTCCTCCAAGGTGTGTGCGCCCCCCATAGCGTAGTATATCATATCCGACATGGGGCGCCAACGTTTTGATTTTGGCGGCGTCGTGAAGTGTTTCGGAGGCCAAACATAATGGTCGACATGATTGTAGGCGTCAACCTCAACTTCCACGGG